GTACAATAATCTGCCTTGTTCTAACGAGTAGCGGGGATGAGAGTCGGGGTCCCCTTGTAGCTCTTTCTTGAGGGTAGATAGTCGGGGGTCGGCATCCACTTGATGCATAATTAACTGTACATCCACCACCATTGGAAGAGTGAGAGCAGATAACTCAACTTGCGGTAATACTCGTGACAAGGCGTCTGCAGCTTTGTTTTCTAGCCCCGGACGATATTGAATTTCGAACTCGTAACCTAGCAATTTGGTTACCTAACGCTGAAAATCAGTGGGAATCACACGTTGCTCCAAGAGGTATTTCAAACTTCGTTGATCAGTACGAACAATGAATTTATGTCCCAGCACATAATGCCTCCATTTCTGAACGGCTAGCACAATGGCCATCAATTCTCTTTCGTAGACCGATTTCAGTTGTGATCTTGCTGACAAAACTTGACTAAAATAGGCAATAGGCTGCTCACTTTGCATGAGGACTGCTCCCAAACCATACCCTGATGCATCCGTTTCAATGATAAATGGCTGAGAAAAATCTGGAAGTGCCAGGACAGGAACGGTAACCATAGCCTGTTTCAGTTTTAGAAATGCCGCTTCAGCCTCCGGTGTCCACCCAAAAGCGTCCTTCTTCAACTGTTGTGTAAGTGGCCAAGAAATAGCCCCGTAGCCGGCCACAAACTTCCGGTAGTATCCCGTTAACCCCAAGAATCCTCTGAGTTCCTTGAGGTTCCTCGGAACTGGCCAATTATTCATAGCCTCAATCTTACTCGGGTCAGCTGCCACTCCTGCCGACGAAACCAAATGCCCCAAGTACTCAATCTGTGGTTGGGCGAACGCGCACTTAGATGCATTTGCATACAATTGGTGGGCTGCCAGGGATGTAAATACCAACTCTAAATGTTGTTCGTGGGCTGCTAAATCCTTGCTGTATATCAGAATATCGTTAAAAAATACTAACACAAACTTTCTCAAATATTTCTTAAGCACCTGGTTCATCAAGGACTGAAAAGTAGCTGGTGCGTTGGTGAGGCCGAATGGCATCACTAGAAATTCATAGTGCCCCTCATGGGTCCTAAATGCCGTTTTGCTTACATCTTCCGTCCGGACACGAATTTGGTGGTAACCAGACTTCAGGTCCAGTTTTGAAAAGATCTTCGGCCCATGAAGCTCGTCTAACAATTCATCTATGACAAGGATCGGAAATTTATCAGGGACCGTCACTTTGTTCAAAGCTCTGTAATCCACGCAGAACCTCCAGCTGCCATCCTTCTTCTTTACAAGTAATACCGGGCTAGAGAAAGGGCTGATGCTGGGTTGAATTATCCCAGCTGCTAGCATTTCCCTTACCAACCTCTCGATTTCATTCTTCTGCATGTGAGGATATCTATAAGGTCGCACACTGACCGGTTCCATTGCTTCCCGTAATGTAATGGAGTGATCCGTATTACGCACCGGGGGCAAGGTTTTTGGTGCCTCAAAAACCTGCGAACGACACCGTAGTTCCCGTAAAATCCCCGCAGGAAGTTGACTATCATGTATACCCCCTTCGTCTTTTGTCGTCATGTTTCCCAATTCCACCCAAACGCCCTGACCTTCATGCTGTAAGGCCTTTACCAAAGCCTTAAGAGACACGCCTGATTTGTGTAGTTTGGGATCTCCTTTAAGCGTCATGAGTGTGTCGCCCAAACGGACACGCATGGTTAGGAGTTTCCAATTGACCTCCATATTTCCCATGGTTCCGAGCCACTGCATTCCCAATATGGCATCAGTCCCACCTAGTTCCAGAGGCAAAAAATCTTCGACGATGGTTAGCCCCTGCATCTCCAGAATCACTCCTCTACACAACCCTTTTCCTTTCACTGATTCCCCTGTACCCATCACTACTCCATAGTTAGTTGTTGCTGTGACTGGAATTCCTAATTTCTGAACCAGCTCTAAGGATAAGAAATTGTGGGTTGCTCCACAATCGATTAACACCGTTACTTCCTGAGGCCCAATTTTCCCTCGCAGCTTCATTGTCCCGGGTGTGGTCAGACCTACCACGGAGTTAAGTGATAATTCCACCTTGTCCCCTACAGCCAGTAACTGTTCTTCCAAAAGGAAATCCCCTCCTCCTTCTTCCTCATCATCTTCCTGTACTAATAGCACCCGCAGCTCACGGTTTTTGCACACATGCCCCACCGTATACCTTTCGTCGCACCGGAAACATAATCCTTTCTCCCGTTTTTGTTGCCACTCCGCATCAGTCAGGCGTCGTACTGGAATCTCGCGCCTCGCGGTCGACGATCGATCCCCAACTGTGATTGTCTTTGTTGGGAAAGTCTCGAACCTCCTAGTTTCTGAACGGACTGGATTATGGCCTGCCTTCATGGGTTTGGTGTTGTTGGGTCCCTGAAGAATCAGATTTTTTTCTTCAATTTTTTGGGCTGTTTCCATAATTGGGCCTAGCCCCTTTGGGCCCAACAACCGTAATTCTGCCTTTATCTCTGGTCGTAGCCTATTTATGAAAGTGCTCTCCAGAACTTCATCCGACACTCCTCTCAACGGCGCTGCTAATAGTTCGAACTCTCGTCGGAAATGTGCCACCGTATCGATCTGCTTGATGGCCAAGAACCTCTCGCAGAGGTTTCCCTCCTGGGTGGACCTGAAACGCAGCAGTAATTGGTGACGGAACTGCTGCCAGGTGGGAATGGGTGAACGAGCCTCTGTCCATTGAAACCATGCCAATGCATCGCCGTCTAAGCTGACCGCTATGGCTCCCAGTTTCTCCTGTTCTGTTAGCCCATTAACCTCGAAGTACCTCTCTGCTCGGAACAGCCAGCCATCTGGGTTTTCTCCGCAGAAAATGGGCATTTCGAGCTTCCGCACCCGCCGCCAGTTGTCCTCCTCTCTGTTTTGGGCTACGTCAGTGGTGTTTCTAGCCTCTCCGGTTCCCTCCTGCCCACTATTGGAGTTGGCAAGTAGTTGCAAAATTTTAGCTATGTCCTGGGTCAGTTTTTCTACTGCTTTCTCCACTCCAGGAAGGCGCTCCTCGAATCCTTCCAGTTTCTTCTCAACGGCCTCCATCTTGTTTTCTGCCTTCTTTTGTGCCATCAGAATCAACAGCTCTGATACCAATTGTTAAGACTCTAATTAGACAAAAGGATAATTCAGAATATTATTGGATCTGAAATGGAAATTACACGGAAATGAAAATAGAACTGATAGACAAGGTAACTACTATCCCTTTTTACTCCCCCCTTATTCTTCCATCCTACTTCTATTTGTAGTCTCTTGCACATGCTGTGTGGCCTCCTGCATGTGCTGTAATAGAATTCGGTTATTCCTCTTTCCTCCCAGCTAGTGCCCCCCTCTTCTCGATCCTTCTAGAATAGGTAAATCTAATTGGTGGCTTATCAAAATCACAGGTGCAAGTTGTCATAACCCCACATGTATAGACAGGAAAAGGCCTGTAACTAATGTATTCATCCTATAGAGTTTTGAAAGAATTGAAATACTCAGTTACAGTCATGGAACCTTGGTGTATGCAGCTTAGAGATTTTTCAAGATGAAATACCCGTGGACCATCACTTCTGAGGTATCTGATTTTGAGCTCATTCCATAGTTCAGTGGCTGATGCAATGAATAGAAGGCTATTGCGGATGTCTTTGGAAATAGAGTTCATCAGCTAAGAGAGAACTAAATTGTTTGCTCGTAACCAAGCTGTGTGATTCATTGTTTGATCAGTAGATGGAGTTAAGATTGATCCATCAATAAACTGGACTTCATTCTTTACTGTCAAGGCTATCACAATGGATCTGCTCCAGGCGACGTAATTGCTTCCATTGAAGGTTTCTAAGACCAGCATAGCCCCAGGATTATCACTAGGATGAAGATAATAAGGAGTTGAAGAATCATCTGAGGGTTTAATTATTCAAATTCCAGAAGAAGTGTGAGAACTCATTTTTCAGAAGAAGAAGAAAAAAATTGAGCAGGAAGAATGCTTGAAGGAGACGATTAGTTCTTGCAAGGAAGAGAGTTGCGGAAGACTTTCAGCTAGATACAACTAGCTGCTCTGATACCATGATAAAGTTCGAACAGCAAGATAAGAGGAAGAGCTGAGAGGAGAGGAGAAGATGAGAGAAATTTACTTTATTGAAGAAGCGATGTTCTTTCACTTTAATTACAACAGGTAGCAGCCATATTTATACAAC